TTTTTTTTTTTTTTTACATTTTTTAATTTCTTTTTTTTTTACTAAAAGCTAGTGAGTAGCACGCAGCAACAGATCTTTGTTAATACTTTATTATCCGACTGGTTCTGTCTGATAAAACAGACGTCATCAGGGATTTAACAAAATTGAAAGAATAACTAGTTTTACACCAATAGTTCAAACTACTTCTTTTATCAATCTTGATCCCTGATAAAGTCTTAGTGAAGTCTGTGATCAGACAAAACCGGGCGAACAATAAACAAAGTCAAGGGAGGACGAGGTATCTCATTCTCTCTTGGCAAAGTTGGCAACAGAACTCTCAAGTCTCATGCTTTGAGCGTGAGACCCATGCAAACGAATGCGATAGGCCTTTTGTAGTTTACGATCACGTGGTACAAAAAACACCTTGCTGGTGAGCAAATTGCGCACTGGAACATCCAAAACAAAGCAACTTAACTTAATACTCTTTTGCAACAAATCAACAAGAGAGCTCTGTGACAAGATCTGTTACTGTGTGTTGCTCACTATTTTTTATAAAAAAAAAAATTTAAAGAGTGAATAATAGTAAAATATTAAAAAACTTCAAAACTAAAATTTAAAAAAATTAAGATTTATTTAACGTAAGTTATTTCAATGTTCTAAGGTGCTTACGCCTCTGTCAGTACTGCAAGAGAGAAAAACCTTGCGGATTCGGATTTCGAAAAAATATCTGCGAATTGGCGGATTTTCCTAAAAATTAGCACGGATCGACAGATTTGCTGACCCCTATTCACCCCCCTCTTAACAGCAAAGGAAAGCTGCAAATTACAAGTTTCTCTCTCTGAAATCGACACCTTTTTATCTTCAAAGATATTTGGCAACGCTAATTACCTCACCGAAAATTATTTTGTTGTTTTAACCGTATACTTGTCATCAATGAACATTCGCATTGTCTTAACCCTGACAAAATGATTATCGATTGTTTAATCACAGCCACTCTTTCGTTGACAAAAAATATATAAAAAAGCACATTCCAAAACTTCATAAAAAACTGCAAACTGCAAATAAATCGTACCCTGACTTCATTATCACTACTGTAAACAATATATTTCAGTACTCACACGATGCTCGTACAGTGCTCTCACGGTGCTCATTCAGTTCAGACAATACTCATTCAGACAATGCTCAATTCACTTCAAGACTGGCAAAAGTACAACTGCGCTACCAATCCATAAATTTTACATAGACCCTTCAGCTATCGCATGTGCGACTTGCTTGTCTTTTTATATTTGTATGTATGGACGGTGTGTTTTTATAATGAGTTTGCCAGTGAGCGCAAATTTATCCGACACTGTATAAACCAAAATAAACCCCAAATCTTCGTTTGAAAGCTGAAATGAAATGCACCCCGCTGATCCTACAAACAGCAAAGGAAAGCCGCAAAGGAAAAGTTACTCTCTCTGAAGTCGACACCTTATTATCTTTAAAAATATTTGGCAACACTAATTACCTCACCGGAAATTAATTTGTTGTTTTATTGTATACTTGTCATATCGATTAAAAGCACTCCGCTGATCCTTCAAACAGCAAAGGAAAACCGCAAACCCTTCACCTATCGCCTGTGCGACTTACTTGTCTATCTAAACTTGTAGGTATGGAGGATATGTCCTTATTATGAGTTTGCCCGTGAACGCAAATTTATCCGATACTGTATAAACCAAAATCCACCCCTAAATCT